AAGTTTCAGGTCTAAAGTCTTTACCGCGCTATCCAGTTTCTCCTGAGGGTACACTACCGGCTATTTTCAATGAACAATTTTTATATTCATATTTACTCTATCGTGGAACCCGTTTCAGTTCATTCGGCGCAAAAAAAAAGCAAAAGCTAGTGTATCTCCTTTGTGGACTTCGTCATAGCGTAGAATCACGATGATGACGACATCGACGTACCTTTTCCAGCTTGTCTGGCTGACTGGGCGCTAGCCGTGCTAACCCCGCCGCCAGCGCCTGCTCCACCCACGGTGGAAGTTCGTGCTTCATGATGGCGACTTGACGAAAAGGTGTCTAGAACAGAAAAACGCCAGCATACACTATTGAAAAGCATGCGATGGTTAACCGGTTGAAGCCGGTAGTGCCTGATTGGATCGAAAGCCTTTGTTTGAGAAAGTAGATGGGGGATCTTTTATTTCGAAGAGGATCTCAGAATCTAGTTACTGTAAATGCGACTTCGTGAATTTTTATTCTGCGCCAAAATAAGATCCCCGCAGTTTCGCAGTAGAACCAAGAGGCAGTTTTGGGCTTTTGGCGCTCGATCCAACCCCGCAACTAGAACAAGGAGTAGGTAGTAGTCACCATAGTCGTAATTGGAGTATCCGCCACGGGCCTTTGAGCGCACCGTATCGTAAGCGGTGTCGGAAGTGTAACCCCGTGGGGTGGATCGGTCTGGCGAGCGACTCAGCGTATCCAGCTCCCTCTGTAGGGTGCTGAGAGCGTCTCGCCTCGCATGTGGCGTGCTCGGGCCTGGCCTCGAGCCATCCAACAGCGTCTGACTAGCGTATCGCCTTGGGCTACCCACATCTGAGCGGCTACGGTAATTGTAGCGTTTCGAGTAGGTGTCGGTGCCCTGACGGTCAGCCATCGACCGTGTGATGTACGACGAACCAGTCCCAGACGCGTGTCGTGAACGTTGCTCGGCCGTTCGACTCTCCATCGTCGCAGAGTCTGAATCGCCAATTAGTTCATGCTCACATCAAACCAATTAATTGAAAACAGCAAGCATCATGCAGATAGTGGCAAAGAGTTAGCTAAACAATTTTCGGCCTTATAGCAACATAGGCGAACCTCTTGCGAGAGCCGATGCAGATAGCGAACGACGGTTTCTGCCAAGAGTTCCGTAGCCTTCTCCCTCAGATGCATATCTCAGATAGTCTCCTGGCTAAAGATGCAAAACTCATATAAAAGTGCCAAAAATGACGAAGAAGAAGGAGAAGGAAGCTGGTGTTGAAGCGTACAGTGTAATGTCTTCTAAGAGTGCTTCTGCGGGAGGTACTGTTAATTTCCTCAAGTTCTTGAGCCAATTGTTGTCCACTTGAAGTAAATGCGATTGTATCAGGTTGTTGATTGTCTGAAACATTTATGCTTTAATTTGAAAACTCGAAACTTATCAAAAAGGCTACTCACAAACGTGGTAGATCTTCGTAGAGTGAATCTCGTCTCCTTTAGTCTTCTCAAGAGAGGTCAGCCTTTCAGTCAGTTCTGTTAGCGACTGCTGAAGACGGCGAGAATCCTCGAACGTCTAAATTTAAACCTCAAAGATCGCTATTTGTAGTTTCCAACACTGATAAGGAAACACTTCGAATTAGGTTGCTAGTTACTTTCTGCATGTGGTGCCACTTGATTTAGTCAGCGCATTTGAAGTACAAAGTCCTCTAACCTTTTCCTATCAGCGCACGATAGCTTAGCAAACTCACTGGGAAATTTGTTGAGCAAGGGAAAAATTGGAAATTAACTTGTACTGGCTTCCTTACCCTTCTTTCGCCTGTGCG